CACGAACCGACCACACTTGACCAATACTAGACCATGCTTATTTTGTTAATTTTTTGGAAAGCTTCATACCAGTCCCAAACAATGGAGAAATATCCCATTTGTAAAAGAGAAAAAAAAAACATGTTAAAAAATGAAAAAAAAACCATCAATAGATCAAGAACAGACTATTAATCGACCAACCAGACCAAGAACAGACCAACTAGACTAAAAATAAACTAAAAACATATGAAGAACATACCATGAATAGATAAGACAAATCGATATTTAATAATATTTTTTCACTTTTATTAATTTTAGATCATTGATTATGACATTGATGTATATCACTGATCTTGAATTGAATATTTGTTAATTTTTACAACGTTAGTTAATTATATCTATCACAACACAACATAATTTTATTTTATACACGATGTCTTACATAATATGTATAATTATACTTTTACTTCTTACGTATCACGTTTAATTAAATATTTTTTATAAATTTATTAAATTGTGTCATCAATATATTGATAAAGTCATGTATTAATAACGAAAAAATCAAAAAATATGTTAAAATGTATTTTTAAAAGTTTTATTAGGGTATGTTCTTGGTCTGTTCTTGGTCAGGTTGGTCTGTTTGGTATGTTCTTGGTCTAGTTGGTTAGTTAATGGTCTGTTCTTGATCTATTGATGGTTTTTTTAAAATTTTTTAACATGTGTTTTTTTTCTCTTTTACAAATGAGATATTTCTCCATTGCTTAGGACTGATATGAAGCTATCCAAATAATCAATAAAATAATTACGGTCTATTTTTAGTCAAGTGTGATAGGTTCGTGGTCTTTCCTTGATATGTTCTTGGTCTATTGATGGTCATTTTTTCATTTTTAACACGTTTTTTTTTTCTCTTTTATAATGAGATATTTCTCCAATGTTTGGGACTTGTATGAAGCTTTCCAAAAAATTAAAAAAATCATCATGGTCGGTTCGTGGTATTTTCTTAGTATGTTCTTGGTCTATTGATAGTTTTTTTTTTCATTTTTAACATGTTTTTTCCGTCTTTTATAAATGGGATATTTCTCCATTTTTTTGGACTGGTATAAAGCTTTCCAAAAAATCAAAAAAATCATCATGGTCTATTCTTGGTCAAGTGTGGTCGGTTCGTAGTCTTTTCTTGGTCTGTTCTTGGTCGGTTCTTAGTCTATTGATGGTTTTTTTTTCATTTTTTAACACATTTTTTTTTCTCTTTTATAAATGGGATATTTCTCCATTGTTTGGGACTGGTATGAAGCTTTCTAAAAAATTAAAAATATCATCATGGTATATTCTTGGTCAAGTGTGGTCGGTTCCTTGGTCTTTTCTTAAAATTTGGGCAGCAGTTCCCCATAATTATAAGCTTTCCTAAAGTCAAAATAACATGTTGAATATAATAAGTGTAAAAACATTGCAACGAAGGTTCGAGAGTATCATTCTCATCCATATATACGTTGATCAAATTACAGTCTGTATGCCACACCCAGCAACTTTCATCCTCCTCCCATTTTCCTTCAATGTAAAAAAAAATCCTCTACTAAGCCATTATTTAGATTTTAAAACTGTAAAAATTTAATCAATATAATAATATGTCATTAAACCAAACTAAATATACCACGAACAGACCAAGAACAAACCATATAATAAGAATAGACCAAGAACATACCATATAATAAGAACATGCTAAGAACAGACTAAGAACAAACCAAGAATAGACCAACCATCAGGGTTGGATGGTGTCTGCGTTGGTGGTCGGTCGGCGAGAGAGAAACAAAGAGGGAGGCTTATGGTCTGGTCGGTGAGGGTGGTCAGTTGGCGAGAGAAAAGCAGAAAGGGAGGGTGGTTTGGTTGGCGAGAGAGAAGCGGAGAGGGAGGGTCAGTCTTGTCGGTGGTTGGTCTGTCGGGGTTGGATGGTTTGGTCGGCATGGGTAGTCGGTCAGTGATGGGAGGGTGGTCGGTCGACGATGGGAGGGTGGTCTGGTCGACAAGAGAGAAGCCAAGAGAGAGGGTGGTCTAGGCGGTGAGTTGGTCTGGTCGGCGTGGGTGGTCAGTATGGGTGGTCGGTCAGTGTGAGTTGGTTTGTGTTTTAATTTACACGTTTTTATGATATGGGCAATTGTTAGTCTTGTTTTTTGTGCCACTTACAGGTATTTCAGCTTACATTTCAATTTCATTTACTTAATGATTTTTTTTCCTAGTTTCATGTTTAGTTTTGTCTGTTTATAAGGTTGTGATCTAAACTTAATTACATGTTCAATTTCGGAGAGTGTAAATTATTGATTCAAACTGTACTTGCCACCAAAAATCTTATGAGTAATGAGATCGTCCCTTTTCTTTTTCTTTCTCATTTTCTCTGTTTGTTTTTGTTTTGTTTTTTTTTGTTTTTTTTTTTCATTCCTTCTTGATCTATCTTAATTTCATTTTTCAAATTGTTGTCAAATTTTTTTCTTTGATAAGTTTGTGAAGTAATTATGTTTTAGTATTAATGGTGCTAAGATATCTAATGATTTTATGCAATGAAATCAGAATGTGGGATGTTGCTGAAACTAAGGATATCATAGGAACAACATGAGTCAAAGCTGAAAAGCTCAAATTAGACCTTTTGGCGAACTCAAACGCTCCAGAGTTAGAGATCAACGATTTCGAAGTTGAAATCTTGACCTCTAACTTAGAGAGTCTCTCCTGGTACTCCTTCGCGACCCTACTATCCGCAATGACAACATCGTCACCAAGGATAGCATAGGCCTTAAACTTCCCGCTGCCGGGAGAAACCCGTTCTGGAGGGTTGTGGTCCAAAGTCAGTGAGAAATTAATATGTTATAGTTTGCGCGAGTCGAACAGCGTAACGAGTCTAAGGGCGGGATCAAGCTTGAAAGGAAGATGGTGGGAATGAAACTCAAGATCTTCTGATTTTATCCTTAGGCCAACTCACGAGCTGGAGTCGAACCAGCACCTCTGGGAAATGAATACAATCCTCCCATCCCACTCTGTAGAGAGTTAAGTCCCTCTCTTCTTCGGCCTCTCTTTAGTTTGGCCGGTCTTCAATTACAAGGGATCAACAATTCGCCGCCAGCCTTTTTTTTTTATTATGGTTGTCGATCTCCAACTCAACTTGTAGAGATGCAACAATGGGCCGGCACGGGCCCATTCTGACATAGCGACGGGCTGGGCCGGCACGGCCCGTCACTGTTTAAGGCACGACTCAGCCCATAAATATTGGTGGGCTGAGCTGGGCTACCAATATCGGCCAATGGGCAGGCCCGGCACGGCCCATGAAAAATCATGGGCCAGGCCGGGCTGGGCCAGCCCGTCTAGGCCCATGATGGGCCGGCTCGTCTAGGCCCATAATGAGACAGCCCATCTAGGCCCATAATATCTTCATTTTTTTTTTCTTTTTTTTAGTAATTTTGTCAACATCTTATGTATAATTATCTTGATTATACTCTTTTTTCCTTACTAGGCTCTGTCCCATTGGATTTTCCTTATAAATGTTTTTATTTAATGAGAAAATCGTAAATAAAATGTCTCTTTTCATATTTCCTTTAACTATTCAAACTTATATATTTGTTAACTTGTTTAAAAATTAAATAATAAAAAATAAAAATATAAAAATTGAAAATTTCATGCTTAGATGGGGGAAGATGGGCCTTGAGTAGGCTAGCCCATGGCACGGCCCATCCTGACCCGCAGCACGGCCCAGCCTAGCCCACGTAAAATTAGCCAGTGGTGTGGGCTGGGCCGATGTCATTCTTATACTGGCCGGCCCGCCCCGCGGCCCGCGTGGGCCTAAGGAGAATGAGAAGGGCGGGCCGGGCTGACCCGTTGTTACATCTCTAGCGTCTTGGCTCCTGATGTTTGTTTTGATGTTGGTTATTGTAAATGTAATGCTATGTACTTTGAGATCTTTACATTTTGAATCACTTACCATTGTTATTAGTTTTTTTTTCTTTTTTCAAAAAAAAGAAAAACTTAATACATAATTAACAATATAATGTAGCCAATTATCTTTATAATCTTACAGGTTATGAAGCATAATTTGTCAAGTTATGAACATAATTTGATAGTTTATGAATCATAAATTGGCAGATTATGAATTATAATCTCATAAATTGACAGATTATAAAACACAATTTGTCAGGTTATGAAGCATAAACTAGCAGTCTATGGTTCATAACTTGTCAGACTATGACCGGCTCCGGTGGCGTCTGTGACTAGAGGTCGAAGGCCGGCGGCTATCGTAATCTATCAAGTTATGGATCATAATTTGATAGATTATGGTGCGTTGGTGTAACTTGTTAGGTTATGAATCATAACCTATCAGATTATGAATCATAACCTGTCAGGTGCCAGGTTACGGTCGGCCGGCCGGAGACAGGAGATCGTCATCATATCTTATGATTTATTAATGGACCACTGAGAGTAACTTTGATATTTTAAATGTTTAACTTAACTATTTTAAATTATAAAAGGGTAGAAATCAATGAAATGATCTCGAAGAGTTAGTAATAAATTATTCAGAAATAGTAGAAAATAGGCCAATATGAAAAGTTTAAGAAAGTATATAGGTAAATTTTTAGTTATAGAAATTAATAGACCATAACTTGTCAAGTTGTATTTCATAACCAGATAAGTTATGGACAAACTTGTTAAGTTATAGTTCATAACTAGATAAGTTATGAGACAAAAATTGTGAATTATGGATAATAACTTGTCAAGTTATGATTCATAATCAGACAAATTATGAATAAAAATAATAATTTAACTTATTTATTAACTTATATAAACTATTAGCATATTAATTTTAATTTATCTCAAGATCAAGATGTATTTCTCCCTTTCTCCTTAAATTGTTTGAGGGGTTTTTCGCTTGTTAAGAACCCTTTTCATATTTGGGCCTGGGCAGCCCAGCCCACATTCAACCTTCCGGAAAGTACCAGAAACACTGTACAGTCATCTTTATATTATCACCATCCACTTCAATTTCTTCTCAGTTAAGTTCAGTGGCTCTGCTCACTTCACTTACAATCCCTAACCAAAACCACTCAACCCCATCAACAATGTCGATAATACCAATCAACAACAGCGATAGAAGAATTGACCTCTTCGATCCATTTTCTCTAGACCTCTGGGACCCTTTCCCGGATTTTCCTTTCCCTTTTCCCTCACTTTCCCGCGCTTTCCCGGACTTCAACCTCGGAGCTTCGGTGAATTCGCGAGTCGACTGGAAGGAGACCGCCTACGCCTATGTCCTCAGAGCTACGTTCCCCGGTGAGGACGTGCTCGTCGAGCTCCAAGACGATCGGGTGCTTCAGATCAGCACAGACAGCGGAAGCTTCATGAGCAGGTTCAAGCTTCCCGATAACGCGAGGATCGATCAGCTTAAAGCGTTCATGAACAATGGAGTTCTCACTGTCACTGTTCCCAAGGAGGGAGCTTCGAGGTCGAATGTCAGAGTCGTCGAAATCACTGGCGAGGATTGATTAAGGTCGTGTCTTTGCGCCTTTTTTGTCTGAATTATATATATATATATATATATATATATATATATATATAGATATGTTAACGCCCTAGCTTTGTGAGGTGTTTCGGAACGGTCTTTGGAATGAATCGTTTGGTGGGATTGTCAAGAAAAATGTTGTGTGCCATGATTTTCTTTTCTTTGTGCTCGAGTTTGTGGTGTGCTACTTGGTTTCGGTAATCATAAATTGTAATGTTAAGGGAATGTTCTATGTTGATAATATATCGAGTCTTCTATGTTTATAATATTTTGGTGTTTGGCCGCCTTTCTCAATAAATTCCTTTTAACTTTTTTTTTTTTTTTTCCTTTTGGGAAAATGCCCAGGGACCATTAAAATTGAACCTCAAAGGGCCCGCGTTTTCATTTTCGTTTTTCACAGTTTTCAAAGCAAAAAAATAAAAACGGGTGTTAAAAACGTGTTTGGTGCAATTTTTTTTAAAAAACAAAACTAAAAACGTTTTTATCTTTTTGTGAAAATCAGAAAACGAAAAAAAAGTGTTTTCATTTTCTCGTTTTCGTTTTCTGTTTTCTGAAA